CAGAGAGGGGAAGAAAATAAGATGACTACCGTAGACCACTTTCCTAGGTTTTCTAAATTGTGCTTGCTTAAAGCAAAGATTATAATGTCTTTAATACTGTTCTAAGTATACACAGAGGAAATATTTAAGGCAATTTTATTATAAACAAGCAAGGCTGAAAAAATGAAAAAGAAAATAAGGTTGCTATACTGCACTCAAACTGTACAATGATAATACCAGTAAACTACAATAAATTATGAATGTTTGTATAGCACGAAAAGGTATACTCAAAATACTATCAAAATCAAAATAAAATTCTAACAGAATTCAAATCTAAAGTCAAACAGGGACAGGAGAGCAAAACAAAGGTCCACACATGTCAACAATAACATTACCAGAAAATGATCTATGTATGACCTATTGATAGGATATTTTCAGAACAATGAAATTAAAGAGGTGGAGGACAGACAAGTGTTTGCCCTCGGGTGGGGATGAGGAGTCAGGTCATGTGTGATGGAGTTCTCCACATCCTGCTTGCAGTGATGATTACACATGTACACATGTAACAACCCAACACTGACATGCAATATGGTATACACCAAGGCTAGCCTTCTGGTTTCAATACTGTATTGCTGTGGCCAAGTGGACACCTGGCTCCTGGGATCTCCAGGTGTTATCTTGCAACTTCATGTTAACCAACAGTTACTTCAAAACAAAAAGTTAAACAATCTAAGCAACAGTGGAGAGGCTACCTTAAATGCCCTCCTCCGATAATGAGATTGATGACTAAGTTATATGCCATCCTAGAGCCTTCATCCAGTAGCTGATGGAAGCAGAAGCAGACACCCACAGCTAAATACTGAGCTGAACTCCTGGAATCTAGTTACAGAGAGGGAGGAATGAGGAGCAAAGGGGTCAAGACCAGGCTGGAGAAACCCACAGCTGACCTGAACAAGGGGGAGCTCATGGGCCCCAGACTGATAGCTGGGAAACCAGCATAGGACTGATCCAGACCCCCTGAACGAAGATGTCAGTTTGGAGGTCTGGTGAATCCATGGGGCCTCTGATAGTGGATCAGTATTTACCCCTAGTACACCAATGGACTTTGGGAGCCCATTCCACACAGAGGGATACTCTCTCAGCCTAGACACATGGGGGAGGGTCTAGGCCCTGCTCCAAATGATATGACAGACTTTGAAGATCCCCAATGGAAGGCCTCGCTCTCCCTGGGGAGCAGAAAGGGGATGAGAAAGGGGATTGGTGGGGGACAGGGGAGGAGGGGAGGGAGAAGGAACTGGGATTGACATATAAAACAAGCTTGTTTCTAATTTAAATTCTTTTTTAAAAGGAAAAATTAATTTTTAAAAAAGTTAAAACTAAAAATAAATAAATAAATAAAAAGTTAAAAAGGATTAAGGCTGCCTGGCTCTGCCCAGTTCCTCATGTACTATCATCTGATATACCAGGGGTGTGGTGGCACGTGCCTGTGATACCAGCCCTTTTGAGGTAAAGATAAATAGGAGGGTTGAGAACCTGAGGCCACCCTGAGCTACAGAGACTCCCTCAAAGGGAAAACCAAGGTAGGAACCAGTCGTGACCTCTGTTTTCTCCCCTCCCCCTCCCCACTTGCTCATTATAAATTCTACATTTACAAAGTACTATCATTTTAAAATCTCTAGCAGCTTCATTTTTCTAAGGAGACATAAACTGTTTGTTTTTCCTGAGGGCCGTTAGTGGTAAAGTAAGAATTTGTGGAACCTGAATGTAGTTGAGTGATGGGAAATGGTTGGTCAGTCTTCTCTGCAGCCATGCAGGGCAAGGTTGATTGCTTTGGGGAAATGTTTCTGCTGGGCTTTGACTGCACTGTCGATGCCTGGTGTTGTCATTTCCTTTCTATTGCTGTGATAAAACACTCTGACCAAAAGCTACTTGGGTGCAGGGTAGAGGGGGTGGCACTTGTCTTATACGTCTAAGTCATAATCTATCATTGAGGGAAGTCAGGGTAGGAACCCAAACATGAATCATGAAGGAACGCTGCTTAGATGGTTTTTCTATACAGCCTAGGCTCACCAGCCCAGGGAATGGTGTTACCCACAGTGGACTGGGGCCTCTTACATCAATAAATAATCCAGACAATCCCTCACAGACATGCCCACAGGCTGATCTGATCTGGGCAATTCCTCAGTCAAGAGTTTCCCCTTAGATGACTCTAGGCTGTGTCAAGTTGACAGGTAAAGCTATTAGGGCACCTGAGTACCATTTGGCTTTCTTAGGTGTAGAGAGTTTTCTTCCAACAGCTATCTCCAAGAAAGGTGATTGAGGGAAGTCCACAAGCCTGAGAGTCCTCATACCATGAGGGAAAGGCAGAGAACAGGGAGCCCGAGTTAGGCTGGTGCTACCTCACAACAATGTTATGGACAGAAGATTCCAGAAGGTCCCAGGACTGAAATGACACATTCTGTGAGGTTGAAAAAAAAAAAAAAAAAAAAAAAAAAAAAAAAAAAAAAAAAAAAATCTGTTCTGCTAAGAATGCCAACCCCAACTCTTCCTTTTCAGCTTAAGGATGAATTCTCCAACATGCTTGTGCCTCAGTTTCCCAAACTATTAATTGAGAACAACAGTAACTCTTTGTGAGCTAGGGACATAGCTCAGAGATAGTCTGATTAGTTCACATGGAAGGACATAAATCAGATTCCAAGCACTGAAAAAAAAACACACACACACACACACACACACACACACACACACACACACACACACACTTCCTAGAGCACCCAGAAGAATATCATAACACTATGTTAAGGTTTGCTAGTGTACAGTTCATGTCTTCAAAGAGGGCAGAGGAGAGAACAACTCTGTATGACCTGGGATGATACCAGCTTGGGAGCAAGAGGAGTCAGAGTTGAGAAGCAGGGGAGGGTGGATTCTGCTTCTGTTTGCGATCTCTACAACAAAGAGACACCTGAAAGATACCAGCAGCAAGGGCTCTAATTTTTTTTCTCTCTTTATATTTTTAATAATCTCAGTGATCTAAAAAAAGATCGAGGCCACTTCAGCCTGTAGCTTTAGGAGCGGATACTTCCAGTAGGAATGGTGAGTTCCTTTCTCAGCTGTGTGTAGTGCTGAGTGAGTCAGTTTTCTGTCCTAGTCATTGAAACATTTGTTCCTGTGGCCCTTTGGCAGTGGTTTGGGCTTATTCCACACCATCTATCTCCCCTTCTCTATAAACAGCCCGGACTTCCACCTGGGGATTCACTCTCCTGGAAATCTTAGCTCCCCATTCTGGTCAGTGAAAAGATGTCTGGGGGGGGGGCATAAACAAAGCTTCACTCCTAAAATAAAAGTGCCAGAAGAACTGGACAGTGAATGCTGAGCCCCACTGTACGTGGGTGAGGTTTCTGGAACTGCTGGCAGTCCTGGTATCCCAGGGAACTAGCTAAGAGGAATGTTTCAGTCATTGCAAAGAAGAGTAATGGAAGGAATGTAGGTCTTTGACCTCGTGACCTGTTGAATTGCCAAACATTACTGTCACCCAACCTAGAAACGTCTTAGGTGGAATAATAAATTCCATGTTGTTCACTCAGACCTTTCTCTCAACCAATACAGTGAGTGGATAAGCTCTCCCACCTTTTCGTACAGCTAGTTTTAAAAAAATTAATCAGAAATGGTTAGGAGGGATGATGGAGAAGCGGAGGTCCTTCAGATAGGTTGGAGTTAAGACAGAAGAAGCTCTGGCCAGTGCTGAAGTCTGGCTGCACCTGCGCAGTGTGTTTTAAATTACTAGAGAAGGTATTAGGTTAAGGTTGGACCATGATGGCCAAAAAGGCACATTTGAACCTTACTGAGTAAAGATACCACTGTGTACTTTATACTATACATGAAAAAAAAAAAAAACCACATCAAACACTAAGATAACAAGCCAAACAGTTAAAGCTGAGAATTTATAAATAAAATAATTTTAAAATTCAAATAATCCAATAAAAAGCAGAAGGATAAGAAAAGGGAAACAAAACCAGATTAAGTCAGAAACACAAAAGCAGAACGGTAGGTCCAGATCTAACTACGTCCCAATGACATTACATGTAAAATAATCTAAAGACCTCAATTAAAACACAGAGATTGTTAGAGTACATCAGAAAGCAAGTTCCAACTATACGCTGCCAGTAAGAAGTGCTATTGAGGGGTTGGAGAGATGACTCAATGGCTAAGAGCACTGGCTGCTCTTCCAGAGGACCCAAGTCCCATTCCCAGCACCCATATGGCAGCTCACAATCATCTGTAACTCCAGTTCTGGGAGACATGTTACCCTCTTCTGACTTCTGTGGGCACCATTCATGCATGTGGAGCACAGACATCTATGCAGCCAAAACACTCAAACAAACAAACAAAAAAAACTAAAAAAGATTTTCAAGAAATGATCTTGTAATAAAAGGATATACAAATCAATCAAAATGAAAATGAAAACCAGATTTTCCTTGATAACTATTAGAGAAAGAAATCTATGGAAAATATACTAATATAAGACAAAGTAGATTGCAGAGCAAGCAACTTTGTAATGAATTAAAATGTTAAATAGTAATAAAGTGATCAATTAGCCGAGAGAATGCTCAATTCTTTGTTGTGACCAAACAATTCCAATATCCATCAGCTAAAATGAGCACTTCAATGGTGGGTTCAGGAGAAAGGGTTCCTATTATTAGTTATTTATTTATTAATTTATAGAGCCTCTCATCGGGAGTGACTGGTAGGGACAGAACACCGGAGGTTTTCTCCCCAGTCAGCTTCACCTTGCTCACCAATGAGAAGAGCTTTACAGGGAATGGCATGCTTAGAGGGGGGAATGGGGCTGCCTTTTACCTCAGCTGTAGCTCCTGGGACATGTGAAACCAGTCCAACCATCTCACTAACACAGGCACTGCCCCCTTGAACAGCGACCCGGCCGACCTAAGAGAGGCCCATGCTTTTCATGTTGATTTGAAGAGCCTATGTTTTCATAAAATGGCCACACCATCCATCCTCACCATGCTGGGGTTCCTGTGTTCTTTCCTGCCTCAGCTTGTATTCCAGAACCTCCTCATGCTACATGCTCGTCTTGCTCCTCATGCTCCTCTTCTGACTTCTGCGGGTACCATCCATGCATGTGGAGCACAGACATATATGTAGGCCAAACACTCAAACAAAAAACAAAAACAACAAAAGCTAAAAAAAAAAAAAAAAGAAAGAAAGAAAAAGAAGAAGAAATGATGTTTTAATAAAAGGATATACAAATCAATCAAAACTAACTGGGTATCAGCTTTGCTTTATTACCCATGATTCTCCTTTGACCGTGATGAAGTCTGGGAAGGAAGTAGTGGGGTGTGGAGAAGAGTTTGCCAAGAAGACGCCAAGAGATTCTTCATCCACCTGTAGAATGGTTAGTCCTGATTGTCAGCTTGGTTGCATTTGGAATCACCTAGGAGATTGGTGAGGTGTACTTCTGGGGGAGTCTGAGAGATTTCTACCAAGAAGTTACTGAAAGGGAAAGACCTCCATGATGATGGACTTTAGCACCCCGGGGGTGGGAACCTGACAAAGTAAAAGGAGCGCATGCGCACTGGAGGGTGGGAGTAGGGTGGGTGGTAACCGCACCAGCCTTCCCTTTCACTGCTTCCTGATCCTTGACCATGTTTCTGCCACCACGAACTCTGCCATACCTTCCCGGCCGTAATGGACTGAGATCTTCTAGACTATACGACAAAACAAACTTTCCCTTTGATAAGTTGTTCCTATGGGGTATTTTGTGTCAGATATGAAAAAATGATAAATGCACCCTACCACCAATACTACTTTAAAACTTAGACTGAATCCCAGTATACCACATATCAACTGAGTGACCTTCTGAACCACATAGAGCCCCAGTTCTCCATCCTTAAAAGTGAGTGTGGTAATTTTGGCCTTGCAGAGAATTAGAGATGATCTGTGTGTAACTCTTTTCCTATGAACCTGAGCTCACTTAGTAATAGATATTATCATTATTAATATTTACTAATTATATGTACCATACAGATGTTTGCATGTACATAACAAACCAGCCAACTAAATAAATACAAAGCCATGCTTGTATTTTTTAAATTAACTTTCTATAGCAGAGAATTAATAAAAAAAAAAAAAAAAGAGTGGAATCAGCATTATTCCCTCAGTGTGCCTGTCATAACTCAGGGCATCTAGATCAGTGTTTCAAGTACTCCTATTGCAAACCTCGTGGGCACAGAGCCAGGTGCAGAGGGCAGTAGATAAATTCTCTGCTGCTCTGCCCCGGCAACCCTGCATGAGAGGAGCCTGCTCCGGGCTTGCTCTTGTGTGATTATGTCTCCACCTTGACAAGGCTCAAAGGGTCTGCATTTTAACCCGGCACTGCCAGTGTGTCTTTTGCATATAACACTAATTCCCCCTCTTCCTGTAAAGACAATCGTTCTCCCTGGCAACATTGTAGAAGGCACAATGCCAGTGCTAGGAACCCCCTGCAGCCTGAAGCAGGGCTGCACCATGATGTATCTGTCACAAGACTCATCCAACCATCTCAAATGTGTTTTTAAAAAGCCAAAGGTCTTTCCCATGTATAACCTGTCGAGTGTTTGAGCTTCATTATAATTTCTCTCTAATGGAGTTTGGAAAAATGAAATGAGAGTTATTAGCCAGATGTATAAGATTGTCTCCTGGGAAAATGGGATTGAAAGGGGGCTGACCTAGAAGACAAACGCTTTGCTTATTCAGGTGGCCCAAGAACAAAACTGAAGTTTAAGAAGACAGAAAATGTTCTTACCCTAAAAGGCAAGGCATGCCTGCAATTCTAGTACATAGGAGACTGAAAGGAGGGTTCCACTCAAGCCTGGCCTACACAGTGAGACCCTGACTCAAAACACTAAAACTCCCTGAGCCTGCAGCAACTTCCATGCTCCTAAGAGAAGCCAGAGGGCCAGCTTCACCATCTTGACCTAAGCAGGCTTTGCATGACCTTCCCTCAGTAGCTTGCTCTGTCCGCAGCTATGTCTTACAGCTGAAATCCCACCTAAGATACATTTATGTTACATTAGTAGTCAATATAACAGGAATAATATAACCCCAGAGACAGATATCAGGGTTCAAGCTGAAAATCAAAGGAGCAAAGCAGCCAGCTACTAGTTCTAACCTCTATCTCAAACCAAAATGGGTGGTCCTGTCTCCACAAATCCTCAGTGCAATGTAGACTACACTGCTCTCTACCGGGCCTCAGATTGCAATCCCCTGAGTTCATTGTCTCCTCCTCCTCCTTATATTTCTCTCTCTGCCCAGCCATATCAGTCCTGTCTAGCCAGAGGACAACACACTGACACCAGTCTCCCCAGGAAGGGGAGAGTCTGCAAAGCTGGGCGAGAACTGTTCAGCCTATGTAGGGCTTTCTTCCTACATAGCTCATCAGCTTCCAGTGCGAAGCAGTCCTCAGATCACAAGGAGCAGAGGATGGGGATCTCGGCGGCACAAAACAATGAGGCACCATTCTTACTCTTGCTAAGGAATTGGGTTAGTTTGTTCGGGATTCACAACCAAGTACCTCTAGAGCTCATTTAGTAGTGGATGGAGTCATTGGTTTTCTGTCACTGATGCGTGGACCATACAAACTGCTTAAATAATAGCAATTCATTTCTGGTTGGCTGGTTGGTTGGTTGGTTTGGTTTGGTTTTTTGAGACAGGGTTTGGAACTCATTTTATAAATCAGGCTGGCTACAAACTCAGAGATCTGCATGCCTCTGACTCCTGAGTGCTGGGATTAAAAGTGTGTGGCGCCACCACCCAGCTAATTTTCTTAGTTCTAGTGGCCAAAAGTCAAAATCCAAATGTGAGTAGGTTAAGTATTGAATGTCTTGAAGACTGGAGTGTGGGAGGTGTGGTTCCCAGAACAGTGCAAGCAGAAGGTTTTAGAAGCTTTAAAAGGTGAGACATAGTAAAAGGTCTTTAGGCCATTGGTAATATGCCCCTGAAAGGGATTGTGGGACCCCAGCCTCTTTTTCTTTTACTTTCTGGCCATGAGATAGGCAAGCTCCCAACATTATCCTTCAGTACACCCTCCCAAGACCCAAACCCATGATCCTGCTGATCTTGGACTGGATTCACCAAACCAGGGACAAAATGAACCTTTCCTATTTATATGTTCATTATCTAAGGTATTTTGTTACAGTAATGGAAAACTAACCACTACAGTCTCACTCTGAGGTCCTGGGGTGAAGATGTCACATGACTTTCAGGCAGCGTTGGAGGAGACTCAATCCAGCCCATAATAGGAACTTCCAGAGTTTTTATGAGTGCTAATTAATGTCAAGCCAGAGACAGTCGTCTCTAAGTCAGCTAATCCTTACCCACACTTTATCAGGTAGTATTGTTAACATTTTAGAGAAGGGGAAACTGAGGCATGCTGTGGCTAAGCATGAACCCAGACCTCTTTTGCTTGGGCCTGTACTTTTAACCATGCTAGTCTGCATGTTTCCCTTATTTGCTACCAAGAAATGTGCAAACCATTAAAGAAAAAAAAAAAGACAAAATCCCACCCATCTTGGCTTACTTTAAAACATGGATTTGGGGCAGATGTATACCCACTGGATGGCTCAGCAGGTTAAGGAACTTGTGCCAAGCCTGACCACCTGAGTCTGATTCCCAGGACCTACATGGTGGAAGGAGAGAACTGACTCCTGCAAGTTGTCCTCTGACCTCCAAATGCTTACTCACAAATAAATACCAATGCAATTAAAAACTAAATTTAGATCTGAGAGTTTTATGGAACTTCTTTGCTCCCTGGTACTGGCTGGTCTTAGTCACTGCTCTGCTGGGGTGCCAAAAGAGATCGCCAAAGGTTTAAACTCGGCTTCCAGCATAGAAGGGCATGAAACGACCCTAAGGAAGTAAGGACAGGACTGGATATAAAAGGCATGTTTCTTAAAGGCATGTGCAGAAGGTGCCCAATTGAAATTAAAGCTGGCCCATTATCACCATGTGCTAATAGAATCTCTCCTGCCAGTGGAGCAGATCACCTGTGTTCGCTTTCTACATTTTTCAAATGTTCTATAATGAGCATGTGGACGCAATGACCTCTGAAAACCGCAATGAGAACAATAAATGTCATAAGAGAAAAATTAAAGCACGCCCACTCAGGCAGCCGCTCCAGCTCACTGCTTCCACGGGTTCTGAAGGCTTCCTGCATGTGCACTGGGGAGGGAAAACAAAAGCAGACAGTCTGACGAAATCTATTGCAAACAACATCCTGACTGAGAAAAGCGACAAAGCGGGTACCTCCCTGAAAACAGCCCAACGTGGCCATTCAAATAGTAAAAATGACGCAGGGAGCTGGGAACAAAGTCACAGCTTTTGGTGCAGTTTCCTGAGCCAGGGAAAACAGCAAATCCCAAAGAGGAAGCCTGCGCTGCCCAGCATCCCCAGGGGCCCCTTGGCTGATCCCCATGCCAACACCCCTGAGGGCCCAGAGAGTTCATTCTTCCCACCCCAGGTGCAGGGCCAGCCCTGGCCCAGGTGCCCTGTGGAACTTGGCGGTAGTCAGCCCCCACAGCCCAGTAGCCTGGGAGGCCATGCCAAGTTTTCCTTGCAGGGAGCAAGGTCGCACTTGGATAGGGACCCACTGCCGGCCTGGGTCGTAGCTGGGCATGTGTCCCACCACTGGCCACCTGCTTCCTCCAGGCCTGCACAGCCGGGAGCCTGAGAGGCCTACACAATGGGCTGGACCCAAGTCAGATTGTTAGGAAAGAAAATTACTCTTTGTGGACTGAGAGATGGGGACAGGATGTCTATAGCTGTTTAAAGAAAAGCCTGGTCTGCAACCCAAGCCTTCCCAAGCACTTCCGAAATGTCGCACAGCCTGCCCAGCTCTTTAAATATCCAAACCCAGAATAAATGCGCATGCAGTGCCCCCCACCCCCGCCCCTCCCTGCAAGCCGCGTGGGACTCCAGGGCCGGCTGAGTCAGAGTCTCTAAAGGAGAAGGCTGGAGAGGGCCTTGAAGATCAAGAAGCCGGGGCAAAAAGCAGGTGACCAGCAGAGAGCTCCACGCAGGAGCTGGCTGCAGCCTGGTCCTCACTGCAGGCCACTGTCTCGGCCATCTTATCTCTCCCTAGGCTCCGGAGCCACCAGGGGTGGCCTCTGCTGCACAGTTCTTTCCTCAAGAGGCTGCCCCACAGT